AAAAGGAATTCAATAAAGTGGTGGGATACAAAATCATTACACAGAAGTCAATGACTTTCAAATACTTAAACAATGCAGTTGGAAGGTAAAGTGAAAAAAACTATAATAATAATGAAAAAGATTAAATATATAGGAATAAACAATTTTTAAATGTGGGTTGTGTTTAAGAAAACATCAAAACACCATTAAGGTACAAAATAAGCCTCCCTGGTGGCTGAGTGGTAAAGAATCTGCCTGCAGTTGAGGAGACACTGTTTTGATCCCTGAGTCAGGAAGATCCTCTGGTGAAGGAAATGGCAATCCACTTCAGTATTCTTTTGGGGAAATTTCCTAGACAGGGAAGACTGGCGAGCTACAGTCCATGGGGTCACAAAAGAGTCAGACATGACTTCGTGACTAAACAACAACAAGCTACAAAATAAAAGATGTGAAGACAATTGTGAGGCATACCACTTTCCTAGGAAGGAAGACACAGCATCACAAAGGTGACATACCTGCCAAGTTGATTCATAAATTAAGGTAACCTCAATGAACACACAACAGATTTTGGTCTCTGCTTTATTTTACTTTGCTTAGCTTTGAAGCTAGGCAGCCTAGCTCTAAAGTTAATATAGAAAATAAATAACAAGAGTTTGAAAAACTCTAAAAAGGAAAGGTAACAAGGGAGGACATACACTACCAGTCTAAATTTGAGGATAGTTTGTTCTGAAGTATTAGACTACACACATACTTTCACCAAAGTCTGAGAAATTAAAACAGGGGGTGTACCGATGTGGATAGACCAAAGGATAGACTTTTTAAAAATCTAGAATAGACTCAAATATATTAGGGACTTTGGTACATGATAGAGGTGACATCTCAAATGTGGAAAAGGTGATCTCGGCAGATTTTTTGATTGATCTCCAAATTTGATTTCTAATTTTTTCTGGAGAAAAATAATCAAGTTGGTTCTAGACTTCACATGGTAAGCAGAATAAATTCCCAAGAGAATTTCAATTTAAATGTAAAAAAATGAAACTATAAGGGAATAACAAGAAAACATTGAAGAACGTTTTTGTGACCTTGGATTGGGACTGGCCTTTGTAAAAATCACTCAGAATTTGGAAATAAGTAAGAAAGAGGTTAATTGAAAATAAAATTCAAAAACTTTAGTTTGGCAAACAGCATTAAAAATAAAGTCAAAAGATAAATGATAATTGAGAAAAACACACACAAGTCATAGTATATTAAAAAAACTATTTTCTTTAATACATAAAGAGATTCAGAAATATAATCACTAAAACAATATGGATAAGTGGGCAAAGATGTCAACAGAGGATTTACACAAGGTGAAGAGAAATGGTTATTAAATAAACGAAATGTTCCATCTCAGTTAGTGATACTCTGGGGGAAACTAGGGTTGTTGGGCAGCATCCAATAAATACAGACAAATCCTCTAGAAGATAATTTTGTCCTACATCCTGTACTGACTTTAAGAATGCTCTAAATGACCAGAACACAGATTTTTGTTTTTAAATGAATTATACCAATTTGACAGTTAAAGCTATTTTCTCACCACAGTAAATGGCAAACACTGGCTGAAAATGACACCTCCCTAAATAAAGATCTCGGAGAAAGCAATGGCACCCCACTCCATTACTCTTGCCTGGAAAATCCCATAGACGGAGGAGCCTGGTAGGCTGCAGTCCATGGGGTCGCGAAGAATAGGACATGACTAAGCTACTTCACTTTCACTTTTCACTTTTATGCATTGGAGAAGGAAATGGCAACCCACTCCAGTGTTCTTGCCTGGAGAATCCCAGGGATGGGGACGCACAGAGTTGGACACGACTGAAGTGACTTAGCAGCAGTAGGAAATAAAGATCTGGACAATTCATGGTCCTCCCTGCAGGTTTGGTTGAGAGAAAACCAAAACCAGAGACGGAGAAATCAAAGAACACATTTTTCATACTGAAGAAAGGATGAGACTATTACTTGACCAAAATTCCATGTCGTGAACAAGTAATCACTATTAATTAGAAATAACTTTGAGTCAGTCCACATGCTCTAAAACCCAGCCAATCATCCACAGTCTTACTCACTGGGCCGTGCTTCTGAGTCAGCAGGTCAGTAGCCCCCTAACTCCAGTGACCGCACTAACCACAGAAAGGCCATTAGTTTCCAAACACCCCATTCTGACAGCCCATCATTTCTTGAACACCAGGCTTTCTGAAACCTCACACAGGAAAGTTCTGGCTTTCATGAGAGACTGCACCTTTCAAGGCTGTACTTTGCAAGCAAATGAAAAGTTTACCTTTTTGCACCAATATCAAATTTGCTTTACTGTTAGTTCACAAATTTACAACACTTTCAATGGTTCAACCTGCTTCCAGTTAGTTATGGGTTTGGCACTGAAACAGCCATAAGATTATCAAATTCAATCTTTTTTGTGATTGTGGTGGTTGCTATTTTCTATTAATTTATTGATGTGTATTTGAAGTCCCAAGTGTCAAAGCAAAAATGTAAAACTCATGGTAAATTTTCTGGACAGTGGAAATGAGGAAAGATCCTTTTGAAGATTTGTGTGCAGCCTGTGATTATTCATTCAATATCAAAGTCAGATGTAAGCTGGCATATCCTAACAGTAGGCAGAAGAGATGCATGAGTTCTCCAACTAGTACCAAAGAAAGTAGCAAAATGACAGATTTTTTTATTAAGAGAATTAATTGTAGCAGATGTTGCAATGGCCTTCTACATAGCGTATTTTCAGTCTTTCAACTCAAATGCCCAATGTCCTGCTACCAGAAGTAGTTTCAATGTCCTGCTACCAGAAGTATTTTCTAATTCCAAAACACAAGCAAATTCTCAAGTGCCCACATGAAATCCACTGGAAAAATAAAAATTTACTAGCTCCATTTACTATTGCATAGATTATCAAAAGTCTGAGCACCTCAACTATTTTTCACAGCTATGGATGCTAGCAATGACAATGCAGAAAAAATTTCTCTTGTGTAATATTTTTCTCGTGAAAAAGTTTTGAGTATAAGGCCACTGAGAGTAAAATACTTTCTACATGAGACTTTAGATATGGCAGTAGATTTTTGCAGAGAATTACTTATTGAGTTAGGAGTTAATGGAAAAAAAATCATACTGTTTCACTGGCGAAAACAAACAAATTTTGGTGCATGTTTGCTCAAATAAAGGTACAAACAAAACCCATTCAAAGTTGAAGCAAAGGTGATTTTATAAAGGTACTGGCTGTCTTGACCTTGTTTTATATAACACTGCTCAAACAGCATCTGATGGCCTTTCTTGACATCAGATTCTATTGCCAGCTACTGTACGTTCTCTTAATTCAGCATTTCTAATGTTTAAACAGAATGATTAAAGGAGTTTTGTGATTTTATTAGTGTTTAGTACTCTTCAGTCTGCTCATTAAAAAAATCCATTGGCCTTCTTTAACAAATATTAAAAAGTTGATAGAATCTTTAATTTATTTGAAGCACTGAAATCTTAATTTAATTCTGAAAGAAAGATCCCAAATTTCTTGTTGACCTTTATATAATCCATTTGAGTAAAGCTATTTATTTGTTGCTCACAGTTTTCAATATCTCTTTAGCAATGAATATGCAATAAGAATTTAGCAATAAGAATATGCAAATTAAGGGGAAATCAAACCATTTTATTAAAGTACTCCAATACTTAAAAACTCAAATGTGTTTTAAAAAAGAATTGATGGAAAATGTATAGCTTCAAGTAACAGGCAAATGAAAAGATGCTCAACATCACTAGTTATTAGAGAAATGCAAATCAAAACCACAATGAGATATCATTTCATACGAGTCAGATGGCTGTCATCAAAAAGTCTACAAATAACAAATGTTGGTGAGGATGTGGAAAAAATGCAACTTTTGTACACTGTTGATGGAAATGTAAATTGGTACAGCCACTATGGAAAACAGTATGGAGGTTCCTCAAAAAACTAAAATTAGAACTACCATATGATCCTGTATACATCTGGGAAAAAATGAAAACACTAATTCAAAAAGATACATATACCCACACGTTCTTATTACATGCACTCAGCACTCATATTATATGACTCAGCACTACTTACAATAACTGAGTCATGGAAGCAAGTGCCCACCAACTAACAAATGGATAAAGAAGATGTGGCATACATACACACACACCCTAAAATAAAATTCTGCCATTTGTAGCAATGCAAACGGACCTAGAGGATCTTATTTTCAGTGAAATAAGTCAGACAGAGGAAAACAAATACTGTACGATAAGCTTATATGTGGAATCTAAAAATTAGTGCAAAGGAAATTATGTGGCAAAACAGATTCACAAGTATAGAAAACAAACTAGACCAGTGAGTGACGGGGGGCACACATTAGGGGTATGGAATTAAGAGATACAAACTTCTATGTATAAAATAGAGAAGCAATAAGGATATATTGTATAGAATAGGGAATTCTAGTCATTATCTTATAACTTTTAATCAAGTATAAACTAAAAATACAGAAGCACTGTGCTGTATACCTGGAGCTAATACATTATAAATTGACTTTCATTAAAATTAAAAGTTAAAAGGATATAATAATTTTTAAGTTGCTAATCAAGAGAGGCAAATGTCATCTTGAATAATGTAAGAGCAAAGTGCCCAATTGAAAAAATGTTACTAGGTATTTAAGCAGATCAATCTTGAAAAGCATTTCTCAGAACTGTTAATTTTATACAAGTGCATGGTCAGTATACTGGCTCATAATGTTGAGCCTACTGTCTTACTAATAAATGTTCATTGGACAAAAGAAGGAAGTAAGTTGGCTGTGAGCACTGTATACGCTATATTAAAGTGTAAATGGAACATAGATTCTAACAGCAAATAATTTCATAAGCAAAGTCTGCCAAACAAGGAACTATTGTGGAAAGTCAAATGGCCAGAGAAATAGAGTTAATAGAAGAGGTATGCAGGTTAGGTACGCTTTATTTCAGATAAACAATAAACAGAATAATTATGCCCCATGAATATCACTGACAATTAGAAACAATTTAAAAAGTGCTGAGTATCTTGTATATTTATTTGTTAAATCAGGCAACCTTAAAGTACAGCCAATACAGAACAGAAAGATGCTTACAGGAACTTGCGTGGCAGAGGCACATTTTCCATTGTAATTGAACCTGGGGAATCTACCTCTGAGGTTGCTGGCTTGCATCTTTTTACCTTGTGAAGCCTGAAAAGTGAAGAAACCAGGAAGAATGTAGCCAAGAATTAGAGAGACACTGAATCCTGACAAAATCAAGTGAGCTCTTAATTGTAGCCCTAATCCCAGACTTGTCAGTTGCATGAATCAAAGTGAAAGTGAAGTTGCTCAGTCATGTCTGACTCTTTGCGACCCCAAAGACAGTAGACAGGCTCCTCCGTCCATGGGATTTTTTAGGCAAGAGTACTAGAGTGGGCTGCCATTTCCTTCTCCAGGGGATCTCCCCAACCCAGGGATGGAAGCCAGGTCTCCCGCATTGTAGGCAGACGCTTTACCGTCTGAGCCATCAGGGAAATCCTACATGAATCAATACTTCCCCATTTTTGTTTAAACCAGTAAATCACGTCTTCTGCCACTAACATCCAGATGGTTTTTCAAAATACAAGTCTCCATCCCTACCTCTATGGTCCAGACTCAATATTTGATGTAGTCCTTCCGGCGAGCACATCAGCTCACCTTATCAGAAGTCAGCTGCATCACTGTGTGCTTCGAAAACAAGACTCTGCTCCTAGTGAAATTCATCTCCATCTTCCTTTCCTCTTGTCCCTGCAGCCATTGTACACTCTGGGCAATTCCCCCTCCATCAAATCAAAATCCCCCCAGAGCTCCCTCTCCAGAAACACCCGGATCAGGTGTGGAACAGATGCCTAGCAACTTTAGTTCGGGATCATTTCAGTTCGGTTGCTCAGTCGTGTCCAACTCTTTGTGACCCAATGGACTGTCACATGCCAGGCCTCCCTGTCCATCACCAACTCCCAAAGTTTACTGAAACTCATGTCCATCGAGTCGGCGATACCATCCAACCTTCTCATCCTCTGTCGTCCCCTTCTCCTCCTGCCCCCAATCCCTCCCAGCATCAGGGTCTTTTCCAATGAGTCAGTTCTTCACATCAGGTGGCCAAAGTATTGGAGCTTCAGCTTCAACATCAGTCCTTCCAATGAACACCCAGGACTGATCTCCTTTAGGATGGACTGGTTGGATCTCCTTGCTGTCCAAGGAACTCTCAAGAGTCTTCTCCAACACCACAGTTCAAAAGCATCAATTCTTCAGTGTTCAGCTTTCTTCATGGTCCAATTCTTTGGGATCAGGAAACCTAAAATCCATTAACCACCTCAGAGACCAGAAACCCAGAACTTCCTGGAAGAGAGGAAGGTTTTTCAAATTAGCTTTCAACCTCTGGAGTCTTCCTTGGCAAAAGGGAGTTTGTTGCTGTTGTATGCTGTTGTTGCAAAGTTGTGTCGGACTCTTTATGAGTCTGACAGGCTCACATGGACAGTAGCCCACCAGGCTCCTCTGTCCCTGGGGTTTCCCAGGCAAGAATTCAGGTTGGGTTGCCATTTCCTTCTCCAGGAGATCTTCCTGACCCAGGGATCAAACCCGAGTCTCCTGTATTGCAGGAGGATTCTTTACCACTTGGGCCACCTGGGAAGCCCTGTGGCAAAGAAGAGACAACAACTTGATAAATCATCCTGCCACAAATATAAATTACTATAAAAGTAGGTAAGTAGATCACAAATCCCTACAGAGGGATATTACACCTCCTGTCATTGTCAGCCCATATTGTCTCCAACACCGAATTGCCTTTCCTCTAAATTTCAGTTATTAATAATCACCCCCATCCCAGACCACATCCTTCCCAGGAAGGAACAGACCATGATTCGCCTGTGTCATCTCCACCCTAAGGGTGTTCACACATTCATACATCTGTCCCCCTCACCTTAGGAGTGGGGTCTGAGGCTTGGTGCAGGGTAACTGCAGGGAGCCCCATGCCTGTTGTGATCACTTGTCAGAGCACCATTTGAACAAGGTGGGTGATGGTCCCTGCATTCATACCACTCTGTGAGCCCTTGGAATGCGCACAAAGCATTTGAAAGTGTTTCCAAGTCAAACGTGTAGAAAATTCTTAAAGAGACAAAAGGACTAGACCACCTTCTCTGCCTCCTGGAAACCTGTATGCAGGTTAAGAAGCAACAGTTAGAACCGGACATGGAAAAATTGGTGGGTTACAAACTGGGAAAGGAGCACAAGGCAGTATATTGTCTTACTGCTTACTTAGCTTATATGCAGAGTACGTCATGCTAAATGCTGGGCTGGATGAATCATAAGCTGGAATCTAGATTGCCAGGAGAAATACGAACAACCTCAGATATGCAGATAATACCGCTCTAATGGCAGAAAGTGAATAGGAACTAAAGACACTTTTGATGAAGGTGAAGGAGGAGAGTGAAAAGGCTGGCTTAAAACTCAACATTCAGAAAACTAAGATCATGGCATCTGGTCCCATCACTTCATGGCAAATAGAGGGGGAAAAATGGAAGCAGTGACAGGTTTTATTTTCTTGGGCTCCAAAATGACTGCAAACAGTAAGGGGACTGCAGCCATGAGATCAAGTCACTTTTTCCTTGGAAAGAAAGCTATGACAAACCTAGACAGTGTATTAAGCAGAGACATCACTTTTATGACAAAGGTCTGTATAGTCAAAGCTATGGTTTTTCCAGTAGTCATGTATGGATGTGAGAGTTGGACCATAAAGAAGGCTGAATGCCAAAGAATTGATGTCTTCAAATTGTGGTACGGGAGAAGACTCTTGAGAGTCCCTTGGATAGCAAGGAGATCAAACCAGTTAATCCTAAAGGAAGTCAACCCTGAATATTTTACTGCAAGGACTGATGCTGAAGTTCCAATGCTTTGGCCATCTAATACAAAGAGCCAACTCATTGGATAGACCCTAATGCTGGGAAAGATTGAAGGCAAAAAGAGAAAGAAGGGGCTGGTCTAGGATAAGGTGGTTAGATAGCATCAGTGACTCAATGGACATGAATCTGAGCAAGCTCCAGAAGATAGTGGAGAAAAGAGGAGTGTGGCGTGCTGCAGTCCATGGAATCGCAGTCAGACATGACTGAGTGGCTGAACAACAAAAGTGAAATATGTCCTCTTTTCCCTCACTGCTCTTCAGTTAAAGTTTTCCTGCTTTGGGAAAATCTCTTGATTTTCCTTTTAGGTATGATTTGGGGAAGACAAAAAGCAAAACAGAGCTAGGAGCAGAGGGATACTCAGGGCCACTCCTGGACCCACCAACTCCTGTTTGGTCCAGGTCTGTAGGAGCCCCCTCTGTGCAAATCCGATCTCCCTGTCCCATTTCCCATATGTGTCTGCAGTAAAGCAAAGACCCTGGAGTCCAGGGGACAGCTGGCTCTGTGGCCCAATGCCAGGCCCTCATCCTTTTGATTTGTTTTGTTTACTTACTCTTTTAAAACTTCTTTGATATAATTACAGGTGCACATGCAATTGTAAGAAATGATAGCCTGACCCGGTATACACTTCACTCAGTTTCCTCTGATGATGACAGCATCTTACAGAACTGTAGACAATATTACAGCCAGGATATTGGTATCGATAACTCATCTATCTCATGCAGATTTCCCCAGTTTCACTTGTACCCATGTCTGTATTTAGCTCTATGGAGTCTCACCACATGTGCAGATTTATGTATCCACTACAGTAAAGATATAGAACAGTTGAATCCTTTATCTTGCTCTTTTTTACTCACACTCTCCCCTTCCCTCCATCCCTAAAACCTGGCCACCAGGAATCTCATGTCCATTTTGTGAATTTTGATATATACTTTGTTACACAAATTAAATAAGCAGTGTGACAATATACAGCCTTGACGTACTTCTTTCCCACAGAATGGTCTTGGAAGTCTTATCAAAAGTTATTTTACCATATAGGCAATTTATTTCTGGGTTCTCTATTCTATTCCACTGACTATGTGTAAGTCTTTATGCCAGTATCACCGTTTTGATTATTGTAGCTTTGCTGTAACTTTTGAAGTCAGAAATATGAGATCTCCAACTTTGTTCATTACTTTTAAGATTAATTTGGCTATTCAGGGTCCCTTAAATTATATACTCTAGGCCCCCATCCTAGTCCCTGGCCACTTAGAAAATTTTATTAAAAAATGACTTACACACAGTCCTCATTTCAGTCTCTGCTTCTGGGAACCTAATCAGAGACAACCTATAGTATCTGGTAAAATGTCAAAACTCTCAGAAAGATTTCCCTGGATTCATCCAGCCCAGCATTTAGCATGATGTACTATGCATATAAATTAAATAAGCAGGGTGACAATATACTGCCTTGATATACTTCTTTCCCGATTTGGAACCAGTCCATTGTTCAATGTCTGATTCTAACTGTTGCTTCTTGACCTGCATACAGATTTCTCAGGAGGCAAGTATGATGGTCTGGTATTCCCATCTCTTTCATAATATTCCACAGTTTGTTGTGAGCCACACAGTCAAAAGCTTTGGCCTAGTCAATAAAGCAGGAATAGATGTTTTTCTGGAACTCTGTTGCTTTTTTCATGATCCAACAGATGTTGGCAATTTGATCTCTGGTTCCTCTGCCTTTTCTAAATCCAGCTTGAACATCTGGAAGTTCTCAGTTCACGTACTGTTGAAGGCTGGCTTGGAGAATTTTGAGCATTACTTTGCTAGCGTGCGAGATGAGTGCAATTGTGTGGTAGTTTGAACATTCTTTGGCATCGCCTTTCTTTGGGACTGCAATGAAAACTGACCTTTTCCAGTCCTGTGGCCACTGCTGAGTTTTCCAAATTTTCTGGCATATTGAGTGCAGCCCTTTCACAGCATCATCTTTTAGGATCTGAAATAGCTCAACTGAAATTCCATCACCTCCACTAGCTTTGTTTGTAGTGATGCTTCCTAGGCCAACTTGACTTCATATTCCAAGATATCTGGCTCTAGGTAAGTGATCATACCATCGTGATTATCTGGGTCATGATGATATTTTTTGTATAGTCCTTCTGTGTATTCTTGCCACCTCTTCTTAGTATCTTCTGCTTCTGTTAGGTCCATACCATTCCTATCCTTTATTGTGCTCATCTTTGCATGAAATGTTCCATTGGTATCACTAATTTTCTTGAATTGAACCAGCCTAGTTCCTGGTATGTAGTAAGCACTTAATATATGTCTATTGAAAAAAAAAAAAAGGAAAAAAAATATATGTCTATTGAAGGAATAGGTGTATGAATTAATGAATTTACTCCTGAAATTTCAAAATAA